GGTATACCCCTGGCCACTCTCTCAGTTCTTTCCTCAATGCTTCCATCTCCAGAGTCTCCCCATGCATCTCCAGACCACTCTGTGCCCCATCCATCCAGAGATCTTCTACGTGTGATTGCTACTCTGCAATTAGCACCCATGTCTGCACAACACAGGGCCAGGGCTGAGCCTCCTGGTGGCATGGCTATTGTACCCTTTCATGCTGCTGTCACTCAAGGGAGTGGTCTGCCTGAGCAAAATGGCTGCTGCCATATGGGGGAGGAGCCAGCACCAAGATCTCCCCAGCTACTCCATCAGTTCTCTCCCCAACACCTCTGTGTCCAGACTCTCCTCAAGCTACTCTAGACCACTCTTCGTCCCCTGTAGCCAGGTATCTACTAACTGTGACTCCTACTCTGTACTCAGCTTCTGGGCCTACGCAATGCCTGTCCAGGCCAGAGCCTCCTGGGGGTGTGGCTATTGTGTCCTTTCACATTGCTGCCAATAAGCAGAGCGGTCTGCCTGAGCAAGATGACAGCTGCAGAATGGGGGATGAGTCAGCACCAGGACCCTGCCAGCCACTTTCTCAGTCCTCGCCCCAAAGCCTCCTTTCCCAGTCTCTCCCCAGGCAGCTCCAGCCCACTCTGCCCCCACCTCCCTTGGTGCCCAGGGTAAGTGGCTGCCACTACAAATTTTTACATTGGCCCTTTAAACCTCTCTTTGAGTCTCCAGCAGCCTCTCTCTGGCAGAGAGCACCCCTACACTTTTTGCAGCTGGCTGATGTCTGTGTGCTGTTTGGCCTCTGGTAATCTAGGCTGGAGATCCCCACTTATGGTTTAGACCCTGCTCTTCCCAGGGGGGTCCAACTGGCCGTTTCAATATCCCTGTGTTCCTGCCACCTGTGGACATCTAGCCCACCTTCTCGAGCCTCTACCGTGCTCCTTATTAGTTAGGTTGTGCTGAAGCCCATTCTTCTGTCTGTCCAAAGTTCCAAGGCTCCTCTTTCACTATTGTTCAGTTGTTTTCCAGGTGATTTCTTCACAATTTAGCTGAAACTCTAGATTGGTCCTAGGAGGAGGTCAGTGTGACTTCCACTCATACCTCTGCCATCTTGGATCCTCCAATTTGGTTATGTTTTACCACTCAGAGTGATAAATTCTCTTTACCACTCTGTGTACCCTATGTACTTTGTGTCTTAGACCCTCATAATTAGAAGAGTATTTGATGACAACATCTAGATGTGGGATAAGAATGTGGCCAGTATGTTGGTGATGTTATGGAGCTGGTCCTTTTAACTTTTATCTCCTAAAATTAATATTTTATGTTATCATAAATATAATTTTAGGTGGGATGTAACCCAAATATTTATATGTCTAATTCTATATGTAGTAGATTTTTTCTAAACACTTACCTCCTTACCGACTCCTTCCCACCACACCTTACACCAATGACATGGGTGTCAAATAGTGGGCTCATTAGATCTTACCACTTTCCATTTTGCCTGTGGAACTACATTGGTCAAAGTTGGTGCTCATAGTTAGTTACAAGGCAGGATAAAGAAAGAGGATGGTTTCAAAGTAATTGCAACAATATTTGTTCCAGATTCATGCAACACATTTTTACTGAACACCTATGTGAAAGTCACTGGAGATGAAGTGTTGAACTAGACAGACATGGTCCTTGCTCTCAAGGGGCTGATAGTTTAGGAAAAAATATAGAAAATATTTGAATAGTACTAATACAACTAAATAGGCTATCCCACCTACTGGTAAATTCTATGAAGGAAAAGTACAAGTTCTATGAAAGAATATAATGGAGGGATCTACTGTAATTTATGAATTCCAAAAAGATTTCCCTGAAGAAATGATGTAATAGAAGTGGTTATATAAAATTATTAAGCCTACGGAAATTCTATTTGCTCTGTTACATTTCTTTTTAAAAATATTTTATTTTATTTTTTTTAGACACAGGGGAAGGGAGGGGGAAAGAGAGGGAGAGAAACATCAAAGTGTGGTTGCCTCTTGTGCACCCCTTGCTGGGGACCTGGCCTGTAACCAGGCATGTGCTCTGACTGGGAATCGAACCAGCGACCCTTTGGTTCGGAGGCTGGCCCTCAGTACACTAAGCCATATCAGTCAGGGCTTATCTATAATATTTATTATAATCCTATCCATATTTCCAGCTCTTTATGCTAATCTTCCTATTTTCAGGCTAATGAAATAGTTATGTAACTGCAGCAACAGTTTCCCCCATAAATGCATAATCTCATGAATATCAAATTAAAAAGGAAAGACCTATCATTGACTTTCTTTAAGGTTCACAATTAATTCTCTTTAGCTTCTCTTTAGCAGGTTAGTGTGTGAACCAACTAGTCTATATATTCAGCTGCCTTTTCAGTAAGGTGGAAAACCTCTTCTTTCAGAGCTCAAGGATTAAAAGCAGCTACAGATCCATGAATTGAAGATATTTGCAAACTCTGATTAGAAGTGCAGTTCTTAGTAGGTCTTTTCTAAAACAACAGCCAGAGAATAACAGTGTGCTTAGCAGTCTTTCATTCTTTTATATTGCATATTACATCACCAATATATCTAGGAAACAACAGTGCCCACCCTTGTATGTCCATGGATTTGCTAAGGTTTGTTTCATTGGTCAGAGTCCCAATTTAAATTCACCTCTCCGGATTCTAGAATCTTGATATTTTAATAAAGTCAAGAACAAGCTGCTGTCTTCCTGGATTCCACTCAAAGAGCTGGTATCCAAACCCCCTTGGTGTGTAAACACAGTTCTCTTACACGAGAGGATAAAACAGGGCTTAGTGAAGAGAAACCCCCTATATAAGTCAAGTTATCTCTGTGGAAAATGAGTGAGCTATACTGAACTATATAAAATTCATGCTACAATTCTATTATTTATTGTGAGGGCTTTTATATTATGTAGTTATTTGATTAATATCTGGCATCCATTCTTCAATTTTCAGTTAAGTAAAATACCTAACATGGAACTATTAAATGATATAAAAGAATACATAAGAAAAATTAAGTTGAACATAACAGTGATATCCAGAAGCTTCCAGATTCTCTCTTCCCATTATTCTTATCCTTTTCTATTTCTGGTTCTGTCCCCTACTACTTACTTTCTCAATCTTGTATGGTCATTTGGTCTTCTCAAACTAAGTTGCACAATCAGGGTTTATACTCACAAAAGGGGAAAAAAAAGATAGATGGCATAAAAGGCAGGAATGGCTAGGAAATTAAAAGAGTACTATATAGTCTCTATTTTCACCACTTTCCCTTGACCACCTAATTAAAGCTTTTTGTAGCATAAGAGAAGGTTTATGTCCAAATAACCATTGAGATTTTCACATGGTAGGTTACTGTTTATGAAGAGCCCTGAGTTTTAGATATGATATTAGATCTGAAGTAGAGCTAGGGGATACCACATGAAAATTCTCAGAGTGACTTCCAGAGATAGTTTAAAATTCAAGTTTGAGTACTACTTTATAATATATTATGCATACAGTATATAATTTAATTCTCATAATGACTGCATCTTTTCTAGCCAATTTTTTCATAAGAGGAACAGGAATGCCTGAATCTTACCAACTTCTCTAAGTTTATTTCCTGGAATACTAAGGTCCATAGACTGCAGAAATGCAACATTCTTTGGGGATTTTCAAAGGTACTATTGCCCTAGAAATTACTTTTCTCTGTGGTTAGATTTATTTGTAGGATGCATAAAGCTCTTATAACTTGTCTACTCTAGAAGGACTTAATGGTATTATTGTGTAACACTTTGAAATAGAAAATTGAAAGGTGGTATTCCTTCTTAGGAAATAAACACAAACTGCACCCTTCAGGAAGTAGAAACTAGGCAACTGAACTCTGCTTAAAAGTGCAAGAGCTAAGGCCACACTCTTCAGACATGGCATACAGAGTGTCTATTTTATTGATGTTGGAGAAGCATCTAATCTGTAACATATGAAAACTTTCATTAGACTGTGAACCACAAGGGCAAGAATCATATTTCTTTTATCAACAGTTTTGTCTCCAGTATTGAGCACAATGCATGGCACATAGTAGGTACTTAGTAAATATTTACTGAATGAATGGTATACAACATTGTAAATTTAGTCAGTCTGGAGAGAAACAGTCCTTAAAATTAGTTTTATTTGTAGTGAGGGAAGGTATATGAGGAAGATAACCATCATTTTCTGAATTTCATATCTTTTATTTTTTTGGTTCTATTATTTTGCTGCATGTCTGAATGGAGCATATGTTAAAGGAAAAGGATCTGGTTGCCAAATTAAGCTGATCAGTGATTGTTGAGGTGACTCAGTGAAATGCCCTTAACAGAACAAGAGAGACTTTATACTGCAGCTGTTTGCTGATATTCAGAGGCAGAACTACCTATTTTTATCCCTTGGCCCCATTCCAATGAACTGTCTCAGCAGATGGAGAAGAGCATAAGAATTGGAAGGGTAAACTTTCGAGCAGAGAGTTGAAACTGTTAAGACATATAACCTCTGACTCTCAAATTTCTAGAAGGTGATATAACCAGGTTCAGGGATGCCTAGTCTGGTGACACTGATCAGTGCAGCTATCTGGACTTTTGTTAACCTCTATACAGTAAACTCAGATAACCACCTTTTCAACCTACCCTAATCTTATATTAACAATCAGAGCCATTTTTTCCAGAAAAAAAGACAGCCACCTATCCCCTTCTCCAGCTATCTTTGTTAGTGGAAAGAAGCCATGTTTACATTTATAAAATGTGAGTCTATTACACTGGAAGTGTTTATGTACACACAAACCACACGAGGAAATCAACCCTATTACCCCATAGTAATTTCCTGTGTTTTTAACATAACAGTTTTGCCCAGAAATATCAAGATAAAAAATGAGAGGCTTTTACAAGTGTTATTTCATTTGTAACTAAACATTCTGCCTGCCACCTATCTTAGGATGCTTTGTATCTTTCTGGTTTCTTTTTTTTCTGATTTCCTTTTCCTTGTGTAATTACAGCTTTGGATTTACAGATAAAGTAATAAAGAAGAGCCAGTGTCCCATCGGGGTCTTTGGTAATGGTTTCAAGTCAGGCTCCATGCGGCTAGGAAAGGACGCTCTTGTCTTCACCAAGAATGGGGGTACTCTCACTGTTGGACTCCTATCACAGACCTACCTGGAATGTGTCCAGGCCCAGGCAGTTATTGTACCAATTGTTCCATTCAACCAGCAAAACAATATCCTTTCTGGAAGTGGAGAATGTTGGTTAGAAATTAGTCTACTGTGTTATTTTGATAGAAACTTCTTCAGGTCAAATCCAGCTATCAATTCAACTGTCTAAAATTTAACGTGAATTTCCCCCTATTAAACATTTTTTGAAAAATAAGTGGACTATTGACAGAAGCTTAGAAATGTTTTTGTTGTATGGAAAATATCATTGTTATGTTATTTATCTGTAGCTCTCCCCCATCACCAGTCCCTTGGTAAAGTACCCCCTCTCTTTATTTTTCCCCAAAAGGTATCTGCATTTATATCATACTCCGAGAAACATACTATTCATTAGTTTATATGATTGCAGAATCGTTCATTTCTCCATTCCTGGACAGGCTGTTATTTCTGTTAGATAACAGGTCATCTTGACCCAAGCAGTATAACAATAAAGTTTGAATTTATTACTTCCAAAGAGCCTAACAGTTCAGCCTTTGATCTATTTCTTAAATATAGAACGGTCTTTTTTTACATTGTATCTTTGAAGCTATATTCTGCAGGAGTAACTGATTTTTGTGTTTGTCTCTACAACCTTTCTTCATTTTGCCTTTTCCTTCTGTAGCAGTAATGCCCATGTTTTATTTCTCTATGTCCATTTTTATCTAAACATGCAACTCAAAAGGCAGATCTTCCTAACTAATAGCATTCTCTTAAAATATCATTTTTTCTTTGACTATATTTGGTTTTACAAAAAATGATTATTACTGAGGATTCCTTGCCCAGCCTAGAAGCCATCTTGAACTATTCGATTTTCAACAATGAAAATGAACTGCTGTCTCAGTTTGATGCCATCCCAGGCAAAAAAGGCACTCGTATTATTATTTGGAATATCCGCAGGTATAGTACTCCAAGGGTGATAGATTCTATTAGGCAAAGGTAGTATGATGAAGTATATTTTAATAAATTTCTAAAGAAGCAGAGTAGTTATATTTTGATAGATATTTGTATCTCATTGCATACTTTTTCTTAACTTTCTTACAGCCACAGCTCTGTCTTTGATAGTGTTCTTTTTTTAGAAAAAATTTCAATCCGCACTAAAGGATATTTTTATTGATTTTAGAGAGAGAGGAAGGGAGAAAGAAAGAGAGAACCATCAATGTAAGAGAGAAACATCAATCAGTTGTTTCCCTTATGCGCCCTGACTGGAGATCGAACCTGCAACCTAGGTATATGCCCTGACCAGGGATCGAGCCCACAATCTTTTGGTGTATTGGATGACACTCCAATCAACTGAGCCACCCAGCCAGGGCAAGAGAGTGGTTCTTATTAGTAAAATGTGGAGCTTGATAATGTATAAACATGAATGCCCTCAGGCTGTTGCCACAGATAATCAAGACAGTTCAATGTTATTCTAAAATCTTTAAAATTCATTATAAATATCTGTTTTATATTCATGGACAGTTTTGAGGTAGAGAAATGATAGTTATTTAACTTACTTGACAATGAAAATAAAGTATGAAAAAGTGACATTAGGATAACAAAGCACAACATGATCTTTAAATCTAAGGACCTCTGTATTAGTGCTTTAGAGTAGTTGAATTAGCAGTAGAAAAACCTTTGAAGTAGATAAATTTGAACTGTAATTAGGCCAGTTTCAGGTCATGTGTTGAATACTAACAAAACAATCTAGAAATACTCTAGAATACATGATTTGTTTAATCTAGTTATATCAAATGGAATATATTTAAGTGTCCACTAAAACCTAAAAACCTTTCATATAAAACAGAAGTGTTGTTTTATGTTTAATAGAACAGAATATCAGGTATATTTATTCTTTTTATCTTTAAGTTAAGAATTTCACCTCATTTCTTAGCTGGGCTAAATTTACATAAAACCATGCTGGTTTGTATAGAAAGTACTTTAAACTAAAAAGAAAAAAATAAGGAATTTTTTCACACATTGGTAATTTAGATATTCCTTTGTCCTATTGGAAAAACCTCAAATATTATTATTTATAAAAGATCATTTTCCTGAGGTATTTTCAGTGAATTAAACACATTAAGCAGGTTTTTTTCCTTTGTACATTGTTTCTCAATTATATAGTAGTAGGTGTTATGTAAATAAAGGATTCCATGTTCACATAACTTCAGGAAAGGTAACTTAAACGAAGTTTGCAATATCGCTCTATTGTAGCACTTCTCAGAGGCTTTAATATGCTAATGTTATTTCAATATTCATTGAATATGCAAGAGAGCAATATAATATGCAACATTATGCAATTTCAAAAAAATTTTTCTTCAGACCTCTTTTCCTTGGATAGTGAATGGTGAGGAGCAAAGATAGGAAACCTCCTTAGGGTATGTATTAGAGTTGGGTGAGATAGCAAGAATCAGGATTATCCTGGAAAATACAGAATATACTATTATGATGACATGGGCTTTATAAAAGATATATACCATAATGGCTCTGGTCCATCCTTAAAGAAGGAGCTACATTTTCACCACAGCAGCTCTGAGTTTGCAAAGGCTGAAGTATGAGAAAGGTATTACTAGGCCTTTGAGGTGTCTCTGGGGTCCGAGAATTATTTTTCAATTTTATTCACTCATGCAACCAACCTTCCCTTCCCTCCCCTCCCCTCCCCTCCCTTTCCCTTTCCTTTCCCTTCCCTTTCCCTTTCCTTTCCTTTCCTTCCGAGTATTTTGGGGGACTGTTGTCCCACAGGACAAATTTTGGAAACTGTTGTTTTGATATATATGTTTTCTCCATAAGCCATCAGGAAACAAAGATGGGTCTTGGCTTTTTTCCCTGGCTGTTGTTAGTGATATAACCCAGGGTCTGGGAATGGACCACAGCTAAGTGACCCAAAGTGATTATGAGAAGAAAGTTCCTTATGAAAAGAATATGAGTACTATTATATTTAAATGTAATCCCATACATAATACTCTACAGAACTGACAAATATATGCTGTTTCTATAATAACCTTTTTTTTTCCTACTAAGAAATAAGATAGAACTAACTAATATATGCTCTTTCTCTAATAACCATTTTTTTCCTTCTAAGAAATAAGATATGTGGAAATCTCAGTATCTCATTAGTCCTTACGTAATTTCTGAAATTAGAAGTAGATTTTGATTAATCTGTTTATTCAGCTAGGGGAAATGATGTTGAATGACCTACCCAACAATACCCGGAAAGTTGGGATCTATTATAACTTCCTTTTTCAAAGATAGCTGACAACCATATGATTGATCAGATCACATACACACACATCCTCCTTTATTTCTTCCTTGCCTTTTGTACTTGGCATTACCACCTCTATGAAACATAGTAGGTTTGTTTAGGCTGGAAATACCTAAATATTGTGTGGTCTTCAAACTAAGTAATTTGTAGTTTAGTACTGGTAGGGAAAGAAATAAGTATCTGAGTTTTGGCTCATGTTGTTTCTTTTCTCTTGGGTTCCTAGTGCATTTTTTTCCTTTGGAACCAGTTTTTGTTAGATTGGTTCTTGTCTCTTTTGCCCAGAAATAAGGATGGAAAGTCTGAGTTGGACTTTGATACAGATCAATATGACATCCTGGTATCAGACTTTGGCACAGAAGAAAAAGAGACTGGTGGTGTTACCTCTGAACTGCCAGAAACAGAGTATTCTTTACGGGTGAGTAAAAGTGGTTTTCCTTCAACAATGAGAGGTAAGATTTCCTGTAACATGAAAATATATATAACAATATCTCATTTTAGTTACATAAAAATGACCACCTTTTAGCCCTGTGTTAGGATTCCTGTTTGCTGTCTCCACCAACACAGTTTAGCGAATAGATGCAGTATCGCTTAAGTATGATAGTTGACATAGTGTAACATGGTATGGAAACTGAGCCAAATCATTGTCCAGAGTACACCTCAGTTGCTAGCAACATTTTAAGGTAATGTCAGTAGAATTGGCAATATTGCATAATAACTTTCCCTTCACTGTTCCATAGGCATTTTGTGGTATTCTGTATATGAAACCACGAATGAAAATTTTTCTGCGTCAAAAGAAGGTGACTACCCAGATGATTGCCAAGAGCCTGGCCAATGTAGCATATGATATATATAAACCTACCTTCACAGTATCCTTACAACTACATGAAGTTTACCTCTTCATTTCAGGATTAGATTTCAACATTGGCATAGAAAGACAAAAACCTTTGCACTGCATTTCTTAAATGCCGATTTATGTACTTTTTTTTAGAAACCACCTGGAAATAATTAAAATATTACAGAGTCCTCAGATTTTGGAGATTCTGGTTCAGTAGATTCTGAAATCTCTTTTTTTAAAAAAGAAATATTACCTATTTTTAAATTATCAGCTGATTCTAGTGAGTAGCCAGGTTTGAGACTCTCTGCTTTAAGGTCCACACTATTTGGTTTGTATTGGAATTTTGTTATATATTACATTGATTGAAATAGCAAAATGATATCTAGAAGTTGATAATCTTTTGGACATGGCATAATTTTCCTCATGACAAGTCCACACTTAATTTGATAGAAGTTAGGAGAGCGGAAATTAAATCTTCAACAGGTTTGACATGGATTTCGTGGTACTTCTCATAATGGCAACTGCTCAGAGAAGTAAGTACTCATTTTCACTTCTATCCCCCACTGCATGAGGAATGGATTTAAGACACTTGAGAAAATCTTAATATTCTGGAAATTAGGTCCATCTTTTTTTGATGGTTTTGGGGCAAAAATAAAGAAGTCTTTGAGAAGCTGAAAACTCATAAGCAATTTATGAAAAATTTCTGTTGTAATTTATTTTCTAGTAAATAAGCACAGCTCTTGGACTAAGAAACACTCTATTTATCAAAGGTGTTATTTATCTTGCTTTATCTTTCTTTCCATGACTAAAAATTAGAAATTGTTGTTTCCTTTTGTAAAAAGCTATGTAGTTGTTACTCTGAGCAGATTGACTTTCTCTTTTTGGAAACAATGCATTGTCTATTAGGCAAGGGTTGTTTTTTTTTGTTTGTTTGTTTGTTTGTTCTGTTTGTTTTTTAAGCCCTAAACAAGCACAGTTTAACAAAGTCAGAGATAGTACTGTTAGCATCTGTATGTAAATTAGTTACACCACTGTATGTAGGCTAGGATACTGGTGCCATAGGTTTAACAGAGCCAGTCTAAAGAATTGTTTCCAACTGCATATTTTTAAAATATGACACATTTCTGTCACCACCTTCCATCTTTTCTGGGTTTCTGGGTTTCTATCAGGGTTACTCCTATATATGCATTCTATATGTACCTTAACTCTTAACTGCCCTTCTCATTAAACTAGTTACCTTCTTTAATAGAATTTGGACTAAACAAATTCATTTTTGAGATCAGTAAAATGAAACTCCTAATGACATTTCCCCCAAGGTCACTGAGGGACAAGATCAGTGATGCTGATTTATTTATTTCTCAGCTATCAAAGGCCTCTTCTCTCTTCTTGTCCTCTCTAATTTGAGGAACCTCCTAGACCAGTGTACTCCCTCCCCCTAATTTAGCATTTTAAAAGTATAACATAGAAATAAAGAATTTGACAATCTTTATCTTAAAAATGTTAATTTTCTTTGCCTTGGCTGGTGTGGCTCAGTAGATTGAGTGCCAGTTTGCAAAGGAAAGGGCCCCCCTGTTCGATTCCCAGTCAGGGCACAAACCTGGATTGTGGCCCAGGTCCCTGGTGGGACGTTCTCAAGAGGCAACCACACATTAATCTTTCTCTCCCTCTCTTTCTCCTTCCCTTCCCTTCCCTAAAAAAAAAATAAAGTCTTTTTTAAAATGTTAATTTTTATGATATTAGAGTTTTAGTGTGTTTGTGAGAGTTTTGTTTCTTGAGTTTCTGGAGCCCAGAACATTATATGTTCTGAGCCAAACATTACTGTATTCTATCATACCTGGCCCATTTGTCACTTGTGTTTATACAACAGCTTGTTATTTAGAAGGGAATATTGGTATCATTTTTTGAATAAATAACAAAAATAAATTTTTATTTAACTAATTTGGACATGAAGATTTCTTAATACTTGTTTTAATGAAAACTTCAGTTACTCTATCACCCCTTTATCTTTTTCACTTTTCTTACCTTGGTTTTAAAATCAAATTGGACTTGTTAAAAACTCACCATTGTTCATGTTTTATGTATAATTATTAGTTCTCTTTATTTCATTTATGAAAGCTTGTTAACTTCATCCCATGAAATATATTACAACAGGACTATTCATTGTCCTTTACTTTTAAGTGTGACTTGGTTCTTCTACACTTTTGTTGTAATTGTTTCATATGATTAGCAGGACTTACATTATTGCTTATAATTGTGTAGATTTGTATTGTACCATTTATAACTCTTATCAAAACCTAGCATACCTAGCAGAAAATTGAGCAACTAGGAAGGGTTAAGAAACGTTTTGATTATTTATAAATTTTTAAAATCACTGATGGCATTTTTGTATGTTTTCTTACAGTCTTTTCTATGTATATACTTATTTGTATATACTTATTTTTAGACAATGCTTATTATTATATTTTCAACATTTCCTAATATTACAAAATATTTTTCAAGGACCTAATTCTAAAGCTACATAATAGATCATGTGGATAGACCAACATTTATTTAATTGTTCTCTTAATGTCAAACAATTAAATTATATTTTCTGCCATTAAAACTAATAGATAAATCTCTGCAACTCATACAACTTTATAGGCTTCCTTGACTTTTCTGTAGGCTAAATTCATAGAAAGAGAACTATTTGGTTAAAGGTTAAGGGTATTTGTAAAGCTATTACTACAGGCTTTTTAAATGCCCTCTGGAAAGGTTGTACCAATTTATATCAAATGTTCTTTGCTATAGTAGAATGCAAATTATTTTTTCTGACAGAGCTGCTGGCATTTGTCTCCTTAATGATTTTCTTCTCAGAATAAGCAGGTGAAAATAACTTTTGGCTTCTCTTGCAAGAATAATAACCAATTTGGAGTAATGATGTATCACAACAACCGACTCATAAAGTCCTTTGAGAAGGTGGGATGCCAGGTGAAGGTGAGTGATTACTGTTTCTTTGTCATAGAAGGCTGAAAACAGTAGGAAGAGGATTTAAAAGTTGCAAGGGGGATTAAGTCATTAATGACTTCTTCTTCCATCTTATGATGGTTGTTAAATCTTACTCTAGAAGTCTGTATTACCAATGAACCATCTTGTATTGAAAAACTCTACTTGTCATTCTCCATAGATGTCAGTCAACATGGAAACTTTACTGAATGCATTTTCTAGGTATCTGTTAATAAGAGATAGAAATGAAACACCAGCACCTCTGTCATGTGTAAGTTCATTAGTGTTGATAGTAGCTTTTTATGTTTTCTTGGGGATAGAATAAAGCATAGTGAAAGATGCATAAAATTTAGTGGTTGATGGCCAGGATTTGATTAATGACTTCTACTTACAAGCTGTACAACCTAGGCTAAATCACTTAATTTCTCCGAGGCTCAATTTCTTACCTGTAAAGTGGAAACAACAGTAATAATTTTACCTGCTTTTTCTACCTTACAGCTTACCAGGTTGAGAGATTTAAGTGGGATAAATTATGTGAAAATACTTTATAAACTGAACCATAAAAATATTACCATTATCTTTAAAGTTTTAATGACAGTTTAGAGTAGAAATATCCACAAGTATCCCATTTATTCCTATTTTACAAATAAGATTGCTAAAACACAAATAATGATAAAATGATTTATGTTTCACAGTAGGACAAACTTATAGTAGACCCAGGATAGCTAGTTTCCAGCCTATGTTGATTTTCCTTGTTATATCATCTTTACACAGCTCATATTTGTGTGCCATTCTAATTAGACCTTGACTCAGTTCCTTTCATTAAAGAATAAAAAAAAAGATTTTTCAGTCCAAAAATATCTTGTATCAACTTGTAATTAATAACCACTGCAAGTCTGATTCACTTTAGTAGTTGATTGGTGGCCTACATGTACAAAAATTGTTTATTACGGTGTGATGATTATGAGGCATCCTTAAGATTTTTTCAGATGAAGTTTGGTTTTAGTTCTCTAATACAGTAGTGTGTAATTTTGATTTTTTTAAGCAGTGTCGTTTTTTTGTTCTAATGAAATCTTATGGCAATCCCAAAATATAAAACAGATGAAAATGGAGGTAGTGTGAGAGAAGTAGAGATGGCTATTAATCCTTGGAAAATCCTAGAATATCTTTAGATTATAGTTTAAAAATCTTGCCCTAGAATTTGCCAGAGGTTCCAGTTCAATGTAATATTTGCCCTCTAATAAAGCATATTCTAAGTGTTTCTCTAGACCTTGCTGGCCTTACCTTGCCTATGTTATGTAACTTTTTTTTTATTGTTTGGAATCAAAAGGATATGCCTCCAGGCAGACAGCAGTACTGTGAGAGTTTAAATTAATATTTTTTTTTTCCTAAGCCAACCCATGGAGAAGGTGTGGGAGTAATTGGAGTCATTGAGTGCAATTTCTTAAAACCTGCATACAACAAACAAGACTTTGAGTACACCAAGGAGTACAGGTTAGTGACTCCCAATCTGGTGTGTTTCAGATAGTTGTTCAGATATAATTCTGTTCTATAAAACCTGTAAAAGCATCTTAAAACCCAGATAGATAAATTAACTGAGAAATACTTCAAATCTGTTTTCTAGGATGAGAGAAAAAAATGACTTGATTTTTATATTAAACCTTAATGATACATGATATATGGAGCTCAATTGAGGTAAACCTTACCTTTAAAAATTATGTAAAGAGCATTGGAGTCAAGGAGTAAAATACTTCCGGAGAAACAAAGAGCCTTGAAATTATCTTTTTAAAAAATACATCATATATATATATAGAGAGAGAGAGAGAGACAGAGAGAGAGAGAGAAAGAGAGAGTATTGTGTGTTCACTACCCAAAGTTAAGTCAATGAGTTTTTATTTTTGCTTAATCCCTTCACCTGTTTTCTTTTTTTAAAAAATGAATTAAGTTATTTTTTTCAAATACATTTGTCTCTGCCTTACCCTCACCACTTTCCCTTGCCCCCTCTTCCCTCAACCGCCCTCAATCCTTCCCCTTTGGTTTTGTCCATGAGTCCTTGCTATATGTTCCTTGACTTTCCCCTTCCCTTCCTTTTCCCCTGCCCCCCTCCTTCTTTCCCTCCTGTTTCTGATGTTTTGTTTTTTTCCTTTCAGTGTTGCTGGTATTATTTTCCTTGCATCTTTGTATTGTTGGTTAGGTCCCGCTTATAGGTGAGATCATATGGTATTTGTCTTTCACCCCCTGGCTTATTTCACTTAGCATAATGCTCTCCAGTTCCATCCATGCTGTTGTGAAGTTTAGTAGTTATTTTTTACTTTCTTCTGTGTAGTATTCCATTGTGTAAATGTACCATAATATTTTGATCCAGTCATCTACTGATGAGCATTTAGGTTGCTTCCAACACTTGGCTATTGTAAATTGTGCTTCTATGAACATTGGGGTGCATAGGTTCTTTTGAATTGGAGTTTTGGGATTCTTAGTGAATAGTCGCAGCAGGGGAATCACTGGATCGAAAGGAAGTTCCATTTTCAGCTTTTTGAGGATATTCCACACTGCTTTCCACAATGGCTACACCAGTCTGCATTCCCACCAACAGTGGACTAGGGTTCCCTTTTCTCCACAGCCTCGCCAGCACCTGTTGTTTATTCATCTGTTTATGATGGCGGTTCTAACCGGTGTTATATGGTATCTCATTGTGGTTTTCATCTGCATTTCTCTGATGGCTAGTGATGCTGAGCATCCTTCCAAATGTCTCTGAGCCCTCTGTATCTCCTCCTTGGAAAAGCATCTGCCTAGGTCCTTTGCCCATTTTTTGATTGGATCATTTGTACTCTTGGAGTGGAGTCGAGTGAGTTCTTTATATATCTTGGAGATCAAACCTCTACCTGAAGTATCATTAGCAAATATATGTCCCTCCACGGTTGGCTCCCTTTTCATTTGGCTGATGTTTTTTTTCACCATGCAGAAGCTTCTTATTTTGATGAGGTCCCATTTGTTTATACTTTCCTTTATGTCCCTAGCTTTAGGAGACATATCAGTGAAAAATTTGCTGCGTGGGATATCTGACAGTTTCCTGGCAATGTTCTCCTCTGGGACTTTTATGGTGTTCTGACTTATATTTAAGTCTTTTATCCATCTTGAGTTTATTTTTGTGTATGGTATCAGCTGATGATCCAGTTTCAATTTTTTGCACGTAGCTGTCCAGCTCTCCCAAGAGCATTTGTTGAAGAGCCTATTTTTTTCTGCACTTTATGCTTCTGCCCCCTTCGTCAAATACTAATTGCCCATATATACATGGGCTTATTTCTGGGCTTTCTATTCTGTTCCAATGGTCTATGAGTCTGTTCTTGTGCCAGTACCAGGTTGTTTTGAGAATAGTGGCTTTGTAGTATAGTTTGATATCCGGTATTATGACCCCTCCTACTTTGTTTTTCTTTCTCAAAATTGCTGTGGCTTGTCAGGGTCATTTATGGTTCCATATAAGTTTTTGAAATGTCTGTTCTATGTCTGTCAAATAGGTCATTGGTATCTTAATAGGGGTTGCGTTGAATCTATAAATTGCTTTGGGTAGCATGGACATTTTGATGATAATAATTCTTCCAATCCATGAGCAGGGTATATGCTTCCATTTATTTGTGTCTTCCTTAATTTCTTTCTTCAATGTTGTATAGTTTTCTGAGTACAGGTCTTTTACCTCCTAGGTTAAATTTCTTCCTAGGTACTTTATTTTTCTTGTTCCTATATTGAATGGTATTTTTTTTTCTGATTTCTTCTATTTCATTGCTGGTGTACAAAAAAGCCTTTGATATCTGAATATTGACTTTGTATCCTGCTGTTTTGCCAAATTCACTTATTAGATTGAGGAGATTTTTGGTAGAGTCTACAGGGTTTTCTATGTACACTATCATGTCATCTGCAAACAATGATAGTTTTACTTCTTCTGTTTCTATTTGTATGCCTTTTATTTCTTTTTCTTGTCTGACCACTGTGGCTAGGAATTCCAATACGATGTTGAAAAGAAGTGGTGAAAGCGGACATCCTTGTCTTGTTCCCAATCTTAGTGGGAAATCTTTTAATTTTTGCCCGTTGAGTATGATTTTTGCTGTAGGTTTTTCGTAAATGGCCTTTATTATGTTGAGGAATGCCCCATTTATTCCCATTTTGCTGAGTGTTTTGATCTTAAATGGGTGGTGTATCTTATCAAATGCATTCTCTGCATCTATCGAGATGACCATGTGTTTTTTTCTTTTATTTATGTGCTGTATTACGTTTATTGACTTGCGCATATGAAACCACCCCTGCTTCCTTGGGATGAATCCCACTTGATCATGGTGGATAATATTTTTAATGTATTGCTAGATGCAGTTTGCCAATATTTTTTGAGGATTTTAGCATCTATGTTCATCATCGAAATTGTCCTGTAGCTTTCTTTCTTTGTAGGGTCTTTATCTGGTTTTGGGATTAGGGTGATGCTGGCCTCATAAAAAGAGTCTGGGAGTCTTGCCTCCTCTTGGATTTTTTCGAACAGTCTGAGAAAGACAGGGGTTATCTCTTCCTTAAATGATTTGTGAAATTCTCCTGTGATCCGTCCGGCCCAGGGCTTTTGTGTGCCGGGAGTTTTTTGATTACTGCTTCCATTTCCCCAGCTGTTATCGGTGTATTCAAGCTTTCTGTTTCTTCCTTCTTTAGTCTTGGAAGATTATACTTTTCTAGAAATTTGTCCATTTCATCAAGGTTTTCCAATTTCTTGGCATATAACTGTTCATAGTAGTTTCTGATGATCGTTTGTATTTCTGTGGTATCCGTTGTTATTTCTCCTCTTTCATTTCTGATATTATTAATTTGGGTCCTCTCCCTTTGCTTCTTGATGAGTCTAATTAAAAGCTTGTTGATTTTATTTATCTTTCAAAGAAACAGCTCCTGGATTTGTTGATCCTTTGAACTCTTCTCTTCGTTTCTATGTCATTCAGTTCTTCACTAATCTTGACTATTTTATTCCTTCTACTTGCTCTGGGATTATTTGTTGTTGTTTCTCCAGTTCTTGAAGTTGTAGTGCTAGGTCTTTTATTTGAAATGTTTCTATCTTTTTTAGGTAGGCCTGTACTTCTATGACCTTCCATCTCAGGAGTGCTTTTGCTGTGTCCCATAGGTTTTGGACTGTTGTATGTTCATTTTCATTTGTTTCCAGAAATTTTTTGATTTCTTCTCTTATCTCATTATTGACCCATTCATTGTTTAATAGTCTACTGTTCAGTCTCCATGAGTTTGCAAGTGTTTGAAGTTTCTCCTTGAGGTTGATTTCCAGTTTCAAGCCCTTGTGGTCCGAAAAAAGGTTTGGTATTATTTCAGTTTTCCAGAATTTGCTGAGGCTTGCTTTGTGTCCTATCATGTGGTCTGTCTTTGATAAACTGCCATGAGCATTGAAAAAGAATGTGTATTTTTCTTCTTTGGGATGTAAGGTTCTATATATGTAAGTTAAGTCTATTTGACTCAGTGCGTCATTCAGCTCCAGAATATCCTTATTGATGTTTTGTTTGGAAGATCTGTCCATGTTTGACAGTGGGGTGTTGAAATCCCCTACTGTCCGTGTGTTATTGTCTATATCTTTTTTGAAGTCGTCCAAGGTTTTCCTTATATATTTGGGATCCCCTATGTTGGGTGCATATAAGTTAACAATGTTTATGTCTTCTTAATAGATTCTTCCTTTAAGTATTATAAAGTGCCCCTCTGGGTCTCTTTTTATAGCCTTTGTTTTGAAATTTATTTTTTCTGATATAAGGATTGCAATCCCTATTTCCTCTTTTGCCCATTTGCTTGGAATATTTTTTTCCTTTCCTTTACTTTCAATCTGTGTAGGTCTTTTGCTCTCAGGTGGGCTTCTTGTAGGCAGCATATGTGTGGGTCGTGTTTTCTCATCCATTCAGCTATCCTATGTATTTTGATTGGAGCCTTTAGTCCATTTACATTGAGAGTTATTACTGATAGAAACCTATTCATTTTTTCTCTTTGTACCTGTGTTTTTCTCTTTCTCACTCTTTTCCTTCATCTTCTTAAACCCGTCCCTTTAGCATATCTTGTAGTGCTGGTTTGGTAGAGATGTATTCTTTTAGCCTTCTTTTGTCTGAGAAACTCCTTATTTCCCCTTATATTCTAATTGAGAGCCTTGCTGATTAGAGCGGCATAAGTTGTAGGCCCTTGCTTTTCATGACTTAGAATATATGTTGCCATTCCCTTCTGGCTTGTAGTGTTTCTGTTCAGAAGTCTGCTCCTAGGCATATCGGGGGCCCCCTTGTATGTTACTTTCTCCTTCTTCCTTGCTGCCTTGGGGATTCTCTCTTTGTCTTTGATAGTTGCCATTTTAATGATGATGTGTCTTGGAGTGGGCCTCCTTGGGTCCCTCTTCAGAGGGGCCCTTTGTGCCTCCTGGATCCATGAGACCTGTTCTCTCCTCAAATGTTGGAAATTTTCCATCATGACTTTTTCAAAGAGATTCTCTA